TAAGCAACTTCAATTTAACTTTGAATTTTCAAGCCTTGCTATACTTTGCAATTTTTAGATTTTAGCCCCCTTTTTTTATGCTTAGCTTAGCTCATTGCTTTCAATTCTCCTTTGCTCAACTTCCTTGCTCAATTCACCTAGCCAAATAAGAACAAACACAATAAGTAAATAAAATAAAGTAAAGACACGATCAAAAGAGTACTAATTCCTACTTAGTTCCAAAGAAATACGGCGTTGCTAATTCAATCCCCAGCAACGGTGCCAAAAACTTGGTGGTCGTCGTCTCAACACTCCAAATTTGTGCAAAATAGTGTAGCCAAGTTTTAAATTTATAAAAGGCCACTACTAACTCTAACTACTAAATATAGCTAGGGTGAGTAGGGATCGTCCTAAGGGATTGTGGGCGTATTTGCAATGGAAACAATATATAGGGTAAGTAGGTCAAGTGATCAAAAGGTGGTTTGTTTGGTTGATTAAACTACTAGCTAAAACTAAGCAAGTTCAATGTAAAACAAATAATAACAAATAAATGATAGAGGGAACAAGAGACAGAGGTCTTGGGATTTAAAGATCACCACTAAACATCACCTTTCTAGACACTTAATGTATAATTACTGAGGGGGAAACATGTGTTACAATACAAAGAGGTGTGATTGATTGAATTAACAAGCATGGATTGACTAATTAAGTAAACATTGTCTAGACAACCTAGTGAATAACGCAATATATCAAACTAAGCCATTAATCCTTCCTTTAAGCTCACAATCAACACGCTAACAAGTTAGAGAATTATACTACTTGCATTCATAAGTATGGAACATCAAACAACAAGCATGTATTGTCCTGCCACCTAAGAAACTAAGGCAACTACACTACAACTAAGCTAGGAACATGGAAATTAAACTAATTAAACTAAGGGAGAGGCACAATCCATCAAGAAATGAGCATGAACCATCAAATAAACCACAAGAGTATTTTATTTAAGCACTATGCCTTGACATTCTCTATATCCATAGCATCAACACACATAAACATGCATCAATATCACAAAACCAAGAGATAAACACATGAACATCTATTCTAGCATACATAGACACATGGATAGAATGAAATGATCAATAAGAAGTATTAAACCACACAAATCATTGTATAAACAAGATTCATATATAAATTAAGTGTCAAGACAACATTGCAACACAAATCCCCTCAAAATACAAAGCATTAAGGTCTAGAAAGCATGCTTAGGGCTAACTATAGCCCCAAGAAGATGTTTAGCCACTTATTGATGTAGTCATCCAACCCTCAAAGGCTATCTCCATGGTAGAAATGCTCTCTTCCTTGGTTGAAACCCTAGAAGAATGGAAGAACTCCCAAAAATAGTGTGTCTCTAATCTCTAGCTTCTCCTCTTTTCTTAGTCTCTAAGTATGAATCCATTTAATGATATGAAGATTAATGAATGTTGCTCTTAAAATGACTCAAAATCCTTATATAGGTAGCTTAAGTGACACACCCAATGGTCTGGACTCGTGCACTAAGGTCCCTTCAATGATTGCACCATGAGCCATCTTTTAATGAGCTGGACTCTGTTTTAATTCAGACTTGAGGAGGTTCGATCGATCGGGTTCAGATGAGATCGATCAAACTTTGGTGAAATCGATCCAATGTTGGTGAGATCAATCTATCCTTGGTGGCGCCTTTTAGAATAAAGACAAATCTGAGATATTTTTGGGATATTTTAGGATAAAGACAAAAGTGGTAGGTGGGGATAAGATTAAAGGATTTCGATCGATCTGAGGAAAGTTGGATCGATCGAATATGGTGGAATCTTTTAGATAAGGACAAAGGCTTGGATCCATCTTGAAATGGCTAGATTGATCACTTCTAGATCGATCGAAGAATTGTTGAGATCGATCGAAGATACTGCTTTTCCACCACTTTACTTCCACTATATTCCTTTCTTCCATTCAGCTCAAGATTGCTTCTTTTATGCTTTAATTGGGCTAAATTGACTTATTTTGGGGATAAGTGCCTAAGAATGGAAATAACATGAAATTAGTCTACGGTGGAAAAATAAGATAGATAAAGGTTCTAGGATACCTAAGCTTAAGGGGTTTAAATGCGCACTTTTCAGCGATCACCAGGTTTCAAAACCTAATCAAATATTTTCGATTTAATATATGTGAAAGTATATGGCACGCATATTAATAATATCAAGTCCGAAATCCAATGGAGTGAACACTTGGAATAAATTAATTAATCAAATTAATTAATTATCTCTAAATTTTAAAATATCTCCAAATGCTCTCAAATTCACATATGTTGACATTACATGTTGATTTCAAGCTAGATAAGGCCACATGAATTAAATTTTCATTCAAGAAAAATATTAAATAAAAACTTCAATACTTGTCAAAATGCTCTCAATTTAATATATGTCAATGAACATATCAAGGGGTAATTTTATGTCATACCATATGTTTAAACCAAGTTATAACCAACCGGGAAAATCAAATCTCACACAAGAAAAATAAATAATAAAATCTCTAGATTTAATACAAAGACATGTAATTGAGTTGTATAAGCATCAATAGCATGCAATATATCAAGAATATAAACTATAACACTCCCTACCTCAATTTGAGATGGAAATCTCAAATCCCCACCGATAGAAAAGTGCTCTGAATCCGACGATACTTCAGAGTTTTGTTAGGGACAACACGATGATCATTAACTCTAAGGAAGCCCCATGAAAATCACAACTTGAATTCAAACCCGAACTCACAAAATGGTCAGAAATGGGTTCTAATAAGGGAGAAAGATGTTCGTCGTCAAGGCGAACATAAAACACTAAGGCACTGCGGCGTTTTACACAAGGTAAGAGCTTCAAAGGAGGAGAGAGAAGGTGGTAGCTATGGATGCCATGGAATCCGGCCAAGAGAGGGGAGGAAGATGATGAAATTTGATTTTTTTTTTACTTAAGACCCCCAATTTATAGAAAAACTCAAAAAAATGCTCTAAACGGGTCCCGCTGGGTCTGGAAAAGTGGAATTTGAGTAGACGCGCTAAAACGGTGAAACTCCGTGAATGAAAAAGAACCGAGATGAGAAAATATGAATAACGAAAGAAATGGCGTCGAAAATCCAGTCCCGAGCAGAGATATATGCCCCGAACAAGTTCGGCAGCAACCGGAGCCAGAAACCCTGAAACTGGAGAAAAACGACCAAAAGGAAATTCTAAGAGTATATGACTCGACGAAATGTGAAAATGAATCATGTACAAGGATCTAGACTCAAAATGAGGTATTTTTGTAATAACTTTCGTTAATTGCTTAATGGCCCCTCTAAAAAAGGGTAAATTGCACTAATGACCCAGAATGAAAATATCTTCTAAAAATATTTTCTTAAAAACCCCTGAAATAAAATATCTTCAAAAGATATTTATAAAAAACACCTTAAAAAAAGAAAAAGATTCTGAAGAACTGTGCATCCATGCCCCTATGGACACCAAAAGCAATTAGAGTACTTTCTACAAAAGTAAAGATACCTATTTCATGGAAATCACTTAGAATGAAGATATGTGAAGTCAAAAACCAACTCCGAGCATGAAAAGTGAGGTTGTGCCAAAAAGTGACAAACGGGGAAAAGACAAAATAGGGAAAAGGACGAAAAGTGAATAGTATCTAAAAAAGTGAAAATGTGGAAATGATTCTATCCTTAAAGGAAGTTGTCAATCCAAATGAAAGAGTCTCGGAAACCTTTTCCAAGCACTCGAGACCACACCCAGTGACGATAAACAAAGCCCAGAAAAGAAAATTAAATGAAAAAAAAAATTTATCTGTAAAATTTGAGAAAAAGGAAAGGGAGGAAAATGACCGGGTCATTACATACCCCTAATAACTGCACAATAAAAAAGCCATCAATTCAAATTCACCAATAATTTTCTATTTCTAGGTTTCTTACAAAAAATGTGTCTATATATTCTTACTAATTATATTTGTTTCTGCCATTTATTTCTTATGGAAATAAGACGATTCCCTTCAAAATCAATTCTAAGAATTATGATTCGTACCTGCTTAGGTTTAGCAACCAAATTTTGGGTTCATTCACAGAACAATCGTTGCTTCCGGCTTCTATTTGGAAAGAGAGATTAGGGTTTCTTACAAAAAATGTGTCTACATGTTCTTACTAATTATATTTGTTTCTACCATTTAGTTCTTTTGGAAATAAGACGATTCCCTTCAAAATCAAATCTAAAAATTATTATTCGTACCTGCTTAGGTTTAACAACCAAAATTTGGGTTCATTCATAGAACAATCGCTGCTTTTTGCTTCTATTTGGAAAGAGAGGTTAGGGTTTTTTTCAATGTAACGATGGTTCTGTTCACAGACCCAAGCCTTAGACGCACAACAGAGGTTACGGTTTTCTTCAACTACAAAAAGGGCAACACAAGACCTTCTTCCTTCTTCCTTCTTCCTCTTCGCAAACCCACGCAGACCTTCCTCACGCAACAAAGCACCTTCTTCCAACGCAGACCTTTAGACGACCTTCTTCCTTGGACTTTCTTCCTTGGACCTTCTTCCTTCTTTCTTCTTCGCAAACCTACGCAGACCTTCTTCCTTCTTTCTCTTCTTTGCATTCCTTATAAATTTTGTAAAGTAAGGGTTAGGGCTAAATACACAATTCCATACAATAAGTAAGGGCTAAATGGACAATATAACCTATACCGTATTATTATACAAATATATTATATTATTACCACATTTAATACAACTTCAATTACTTTTTTTTTACTCACTTTTTAAATGACGTGACCATTTTTCCTCCACTCATTTCAAAATGGAGGAACTTGTGCACTGTGCAACTGGAGGGGATTTTCAACCCCCCCGGGCCGCGTAAAATGGAGCTCCTTAAAAAAGTTGAGGAGTTTTCCGTAATTTGATTCCAAATTATAAAAAGGTGTCTCTGTCTCCTTGCAAGTCAAAATTCCTATTCTATTACCGCCCCTTTCCCCCACATGTCTACTGTCCGCGAATATTTTATGTTATGGAATGTTTTGCCTTCTTCTCAGGTGGTGTTTGAGTGCTTATCCATGACATTGAGTCCTGTGGTTAATTCTACCCTCAAAATTGAAGGCTGGTTGATGGTATAAACATGAACTATCTTAGACTGCTAGAGTATAAAATGATATGGGTTCTAAATTTAAGATTTTATTCGGGCATAGTATCAGATTCTTGTTTCAGCTACACGTTATTCCGTGGACTACTCTTTTCCTTTTTATAATGGTAAGTGATCGTTTTTTTTTCTTTGGAATTCTTGATTGCGTAGTTAGGTTGTATTATATGCTCTGTTATGAACATGTAGTTTTTGAATATTTCCACTTTTTGGCTTAATTAAATGTTGTTCACAAGTTAAGGTTTTCAATTCGTACTTTTTACAGATTTGAAGTGCAATTGTTCTCTAGACTGCGAATCGATTGTGCAATTAACACTCTGTTCCAGTTGGGTTCAAATATTGTAGTGAGGCTCATCTGAGATGAACTTGATTTGGAAATTTCTATCAGTGTTACTCAATGTTGGATTGTTTGCAAATGGGTTTAGTTCAAGACCTGCTGTTGTGAACATTGGAGCACTTTTCACATTTGAATCTACTATTGGTAGAGTAGCCAAGGTTGCCGTTGAGGAGGCTGTGAAAGATGTCAACTCCAATTCCAGTGTTCTCCATGGAACCAAACTTGTTGTCAAGATGCAGAATTCCAATTGCAATGGGTTTCTTGGCATGGTTGGAGGTACTTTATTTTCTACAGCCTTTTCCACAATACCTATTGTTGTTGTTGTTTTTAATTTATTTTGTTTTATTTATTTTGGGTAGATAAATAAGCTATTTATAAAAGAGAAATCAAAGTACAGAAATCCCCAAATTCTCAATTGGTTGCCAAGAAAATGTAGGGAAAGGATATAACATAGTATTTTTTATTTAATTTTTATGATGAGTTTTGGAAAATTTAAGTTTGCCTCAAGATTATCTATCTTAGGATCATTGGATTTGGGGTTTTTGCTTCCTTATGTCCCAAATAAAGAAAAATCTTAATATTCCAAATTTTTTTATTTTATTTTTCCATAAATTTTTTTAGCATTCAAGTGGAGCATAATTATGTCTAGTTTTTTCATCAAATTATATTCAAGATTCTGCTCTGTAGGAGTATGTCAATATCAGGTAGATGCACTAATAACTGATTTTTGGTTACAGCTTTGCAATTTATGGAGACTGATATTGTTGCAATTATTGGGCCACAATCTTCTGTAGTTGCTCATATTGTATCACATGTTGCAAATGAACTCCAAGTCCCTCTTTTATCATTTGCTGCTACAGATCCCACTCTTTCTTCTCTTCAGTTTCCCTTTTTTGTTAGGACAACACAGAGTGATTTGTTCCAGATGACTGCAGTAGCAGAGATTGTTGGTTATTATGGTTGGAAGGAGGTAATTGCAATTTTCCTGGATGATGATTATGGTAGGAATGGTGTGTCAGCATTAGATGATGCACTTGCAGCAAGGCGCATTAAAATCTCCTACAAGGTGGGAATTCCCCCGGCATCAGGAATTAGTCGGGGTGACATCATGGATATTCTAGTTAAGGTTGCATTACTAGAGTCTCGAGTTATTGTTGTTCATGTAAATCCTGATTCCGGTTTCATGGTGTTTTCTGTGGCTCACTACCTTGGAATGATGGGTGATGGATATGTTTGGATATCTACCGATTGGCTTTCCTCCGTTTTAGATTCCTCTTCGCCCCTTTCCCCCGAGATCATGGATACATTACAAGGAGTTCTTATTTTGCGTCAACACACACCAGATTCAGATAGAAAGAGAGCCTTATTCTCTAGGTGGAACAAGCTGACTGGTGGTTCTTTTCGGCTAAATGCTTATGGGCTTTATGCTTATGATTCTGTTTGGCTGGTTGCTCATGCTATTGATTCGTTTCTTAATCAGGGTGGTATTATTTCATTTTCTAATGATTCAAGGTTAATTTCTATTGAAGGGGGTGATCTTCACCTTGATGCAATGAACGTATTTGATGGAGGACACCTACTGCTGAAGAACATACTGCAGAGTAATCTTCTGGGTTTAACAGGTCCTATCAAGTTCAATCCTGACAGATCTTTAGTTTTTCCGGCATATGATGTTATTAATATTATTGGAACGGGGTTTAGAAGGATAGGTTACTGGTCTAACTATTCGGGTTTATCCACTGTGCCTCCTGAGACACTCTACTCAAGGCCACCTAACCGTTCGAGTTTGAACCAAAAACTATATAGTGTTGTTTGGCCAGGAGAGACAATAAGAAAGCCTCGTGGATGGGTTTTCCCAAACAACGGGAAGCAATTGAGAATTGGGGTACCTATTCGGGTGAGTTACCGGGAATTTGTATCACAAGTTAAAGGCACTAATATTTTTAAAGGTTTCTGCATAGATGTATTTATGGCAGCTGTTAATCTGTTACCATATGCCCTTCCATATCAATTTATCCCCTATGGAGATGGTCAGAAAAATCCAAGCTACACAGAACTTGTCACTTTGATCACAACAGGCGTGAGTACAACATATAAAATTATTATTTTTCTTTTTAAAAATTATAATTATTTTTTATGCTTAGTTTGTTTTTCATATTCTTTTCTTTATTTACCTGTTACAGTTTTTTGATGCTGCTGTTGGTGACATTGCCATTGTTACAAACCGGACAACGATAGTGGATTTTACACAGCCATATGCTGCATCTGGACTTGTTGTAGTTGCTCCATTTAAGAAGTTGAACACAGGAGCTTGGGCTTTCCTGCGGCCATTTTCTCCGGAAATGTGGGCTGTCACTGCTGCTTTCTTCCTTGTTATTGGAATAGTTGTGTGGATTCTGGAGCATAGGACAAACGATGAATTCAGGGGCCCGCCTAAAAAACAACTCATAACCATTCTTTGGTGAGTTCTTACTTTGGATCCTGTGAAGATGTCATATGGCTGACTTCCAATAATTATTGTCAGTTTTTATTTTTATTTTTATTTTTATCTGTTTTGTATGTATAAAATATATCAGAACTTAGAATTTGAGCAGGACAATATACCTATTGATAGAAGATGGTGGGAACCATGATTGTCAAGGGAGTTTGAACAAAACCCAATGTTTGGATACCATTAGGGAAGTTGATTGTGGCATGTTTTGCACATTTAAAGCAAGGGAAATGAAGGGTAGGTGACTTTGGGTGAATGTCTGTTGTGCAATTGACGCGGGTGGATAGGAGGGAAGAAGAAGAATATAGAAAAAGAAGGCACTATGAGAGAAGGAGTTAGGATAAACAAAGAGCTAAGCTGTATAGTATCATTATCAAAATATAATTCAAGTTCAAAAGTTCTACCTTCACTTCCAGCACCTATACATAAAGACTTTAACTTCCAACTCTACATTAATGATGCTACAACTTTCAACACATATCTCAAGTTCAACAACTTTAAATTAAAAACAACTTAAAAGACCCAAAATACCAAGAAATTTAAATATAAGTAGTTGGGGAAAACAAATCATTTTTCAAGACATCTCTTGATCTTCCAATTAGCCACCTAAGAATCCACATGGTGTTGACAAGGCTGCCAAGTAGGCACTGCATCATCCTCCCCGGGTGAGAAAGAACTCGTCCACGAGTTTGCAACCAACTCTCCATGATATTCCGACAAGTCTTGAACATTGAAAGTAGGATGAGTATGTATATTGGGAGGGAGTTCAACCTTGTAAGCATTGTCATTGATTTTCTTAAGAACTCGGCATGGACCTACCTTCTTCTCCTTGAGCTTGTTGTAAGACCTGGCTGGAAATCTTTCTTTCTTCAAGTAAACCCATACAAGATCCCCTTCCTTGGAAGTTTTAATTCGCCGATGAGCATTAGCGACTTCCTTGTACTTCTCATTACTTTCTTCAAGTTTTTCTCACTTCTTCATGAACTCTTGCCATGGATGTAGCAAAATCCTCAACCTTCTTATTAGGCAAAGATGGATTAGGAATTTGTGCAAGGTCAAGGTAGTGTCTTGGAACTCGTCCATAAACCACCTCAAATGGACTCTTTCCGGTAGAACGATTCACCACATAATTATAAACAAATTCGGCTTCAAAAAGAATCATGTCCCATTGCGTTGGTCTTCTTTTTTCCGCCAACCCTCTATAAGCAAATTCCCCAAGGTTCTATTTACTCCTTCAGTTTGTCCATCTGTTTGAAGATGATAGGCTCTATTATAAAGCAAATTAGTACCAATCCTCTTGCACAAACACCTCTAAAAATGACTAAGGAATTTGGTATCCCTATCCGTAACAATGGACTTGGGAACACCATGATGCTTAACCACCTCATTGAAATAAAGTTTGGCAACATAATGTTGGAAACGGCATTAGAAAACGCAAACTTTGGAAGGATTTTTAAAAAGATTCCGCTAAGAATTTTTTGCGAATCTATTGATGAGCGCGTTCCTCTCTGCGAGGAGATGAACATGGTATATTTATTTTCTCAAATCCGTTTCCGGGTGAATGAGAAATTGGCTCCAAAGTAAGTGATTTATAAAGCCTAAATGGGTGTGAATAAAGTGGGAAATGCTTGTCCCACATCGGAAAAGTAGCAAAGCAACCTTGAGTATATATATGTCTAGTATGGGATTTGGGTTTGGGCCCAAGGGCACCCAAGTTTTTAAGAGGGGGAGGACCTAGGCTAGCCTGGATCCGAACCAACTACCACACGCGCGCGCCGCCCGCCCGGTCCGGTCCGGGCTAGGGCGGGGCGGGGCTTGATTGTGAAATGGGTTTAACTTTTTACCCAAAGTTAGGATGGGCCTGTGTGGTAATTTTATTTTGTTGCTGGACTTATCAAAATGGGCCTATTTACTGGACTTATTTAAGTGGGCTTGCGGGTGGAGCACGCTGGGCTGGGCTGCCGAAGTTTGCTTGCTGGGCTTAATCTGTTTTGGGTTTAAATTCAAATCAAAAACTGTTTTTTTTGAACCAAGGGTTGCACCCTTTACAAATTAAAAACCATTGGTCAACAATGGTTGCACCCATTCGGACTATGGGTGCACCCATTCAGAATAGGCACCAACAAGCCTATAAATACCCATCATTGGGTTCATTTCAATTCACACCAAATTCAGAAATCTTCTTCTCTTCTTCTGAATTTCTTCTTCTAATTCTTCTTTGTTCGGTTCAGCCACTGGTTTGGGTTCAACCTAAACTGGTTTGGATTGGGTTCGAACCTTGGTTTCCAAGTTTAGGTTCAATCTTAGTCTCCGAGTTAGGATTCAATCCTGGTCTCCGAGTCTGATTTCAACAGAGAGTGCTACACCGAGTCGGTTCGCCTATTCCATTGGTTTGAAGTGCTACTACCAAAGGAAGAAAAGTCGTTGTATCCTGGGAGATAGACGCCGAAGAGTCCGTTAGCACCGTAGCGGGGCGTATCTGTCTTAAGGCTATAGAATTAAATTCTAGCCTCGACTTTATCAGGTTCTTTTATAGTTTTATTTTCTTGATATTATATAGATTATTATAATAAATATTATATTTACAAATAATATTTAAATAAATTATACTATAGTATATGATACATTATTTATTATTTTTGATTAACAATCTTAAGACAGATAACTTTATACTATAGTAATAATTATTTAATTATTATTCTCCTTATAATTAATTATAATTTGACTCGTGGTCTGTATATCAATATATAACAGACAAATGGCAAGTACGAGTATTACCGTGCCTAATGTTCCCGTCAGTCATGGGGAGAAGCCCGAAAAATTCAACGGGACAGAGTTTAAAAGGTGGCAACAGAAAATGATGTTCTACCTTACAACTCTGAATCTAAGCAAGTATCTGACTGAGACTGCTCCAGTGTTAGATGAGGGTGATACAGACATTACCAAGCTTGGAGCTGTTGATACATGGAAGCATGGAGACTTCCTATGCAAGAACTACATCCTCAATGGATTGGACAACACCTTATATAATGTGTACAGTCCAATAAATACTGCTAAAGAGCTTTGGGAGTCGTTAGACAAAAAGTATAAAACAGAGGATGCTGGATTGAAGAAATTCGTGGTTGGACGATTTCTGGACTTCAAAATGATAGACTCCAAGACAGTCGTGAGCCAAGTGCAGGAGCTCCAGCTAATCCTACATGAGATACATGCTGAGAAGATGACATTGAGTGAATCCTTTCAAGTAGCTTCAATCATTGAAAAGCTGCCACCTACTTGGAAAGATTTCAAAAATTACTTGAAGCATAAGCGCAAGGAAATGGGGCTCGAAGACTTAATTGTCAGGCTGAGAATTGAAGAAGATAACCGTACATCTGAAAAGAGAGCCGGAAATTCTTCAATAGTGTCAAAGGCAAATGTAGTAGAAGCAGGACAGAAAAATAAGAAGAGGAAGCACTCTGGAGAAGGTCCTAGCCAAGGAAACTACAAGAAGTTCACCGGGAAGTGTTTCATATGCGGTAAGCTAGGACACCGAGCTAAAGATTGTCGTAGCCGCAAAACACATCATAACCCCAAGAAGAAGACCACTGAGGTGCACATAGCTGAAGAAGATAAGTTGACAGCTGATGTATCAGAGTTAAATCTTTCAGCTGTGGTTTCTGAAATCAACCTGGTAAGCAACAACAGAGAATGGTGGGTGGACACAGGAGCTACTCGTCATGTTTGCTCTGAAAAGAGGATGTTCACTACCTATGAAACTATAAATAATGAAGAACAACTCTACATGGGGAATTCTTCTACTGCAAAGGTTGAAGGACAAGGAAAGATCAAGCTACTAATGACCTCAGGAAAAGAGCTCACTCTTAATAATGTGCTGCATGTACCAGACATCAGGAAGAACTTGGTCTCTGGGTCACTACTAAGCAAGAATGGGTTCAAGCTGGTCTTTGTATCTGATAAGTTTGTGCTGACTAAGAATGGGGTGTATGTGGGCAAAGGGTATCTAAGTAATGGACTATTTAAGTTCAATGTAATGACTGTTGTACCCAAAGCTATTAATGATAATAATAAAGCTAGTGCTTCTTCTGCTTATATTATTGACTCATCTGATGTATGGCATGGTAGGTTAGGACATGTTAATTATGATACTATTCGTAGATTGATTAACATGGAATCTATACCTAAATTTAATATTGATTTAAATCAAAAATGCCAAACATGTGTAGAAGCAAAATTGACTAGAACCTCATTTCACTCCATAGAACGAAGTACTGAACCTCTAGCATTAATTCACAGTGATATCTGTGACTTTAAATCTGTGCCAACTAGAGGTGGGAAAAAGTATTTCGTTACTTTTATTGATGACTGCACAAGATATTGTTATGTATACTTGTTAAGAAGTAAAGATGAAGCCTTGGAAATGTTTAAACATTACAAGAATGAGGTTGAGAATCAACTTGGAAAAAAGATAAAGATGTTTAGAAGTGATAGAGGTGGTGAATACGAAATACCATTCGCTGACATTTGTTCAGAACATGGTATTATTCACCAAACTACCGCTCCTTATTCACCTCAACAGAACGGTGTTGCTGAACGCAAAAATCGTACCTTAAAAGAAATGATGAATGCTATGTTGATAAGTTCTGGTTTAACCCAGAATTTGTGGGGGGAAGCTTTGCTCTCTGCTAATTATGTTCTCAACAAGGTACCTCAAAAGAAATCAAAGGTGACACCTTATGAATTATGGAAAGGTCAAAAACCTTCCTATAAATTCTTAAAAGTATGGGGGTGTTTAGCTAAGGTTGCGGTTCCTACTCCTAAGAAAGTTAAGATAGGACCAAAAACCTTTGATGGTATTTTCATAGGCTATGCACAGAATAGTAGTGCATATCGTTTTCTTGTGCATAAATCAGACATTCCTGATATCCATGTCAATACAATTATTGAGTCAAGGAATGCTTATTTCTTTG